ATAATATTGAAAACGTGTACCCGACATTTATCGTCAACAAAGTAATACTTTCCTACCTTATTTGGTCTTACTGTTGCTAATAGATACAGATGCGACTGTATTTTTTTGTTGAATAGAAGGCAAAAGACAGAAACTTTTTTTCAACTACATTTTTTGCTATATTTTTTATTTACTAGTTTTATGATACGCTGCGATAATCTCTTTACAGTAATTCATCAAAACCTTAGCTTTATCTGAACAGCTTACATAAATTATGCTTAATTGTAGCTGTCGCCATCATTATTCCTATTTTCATAGACCTATTGCTACAGCAGAAAAAAACAGCGATAGTTGTGTAAGAAACGATAACGTGAAAAAATCTTGCTTTAGAGTTTGATTATAAGACAAACGTTAAACAGCTTTTTTTTTTCTATTTTTCATCTTTGTTGATTTTTATTTTCAACTTTTTTTCTTTTTTTTACTTACGACTTCAATCTAGTTGAAAAAGAAGACAGTATAACAGTGATAACAGCAAAAAAAATTAAGTAGGAAAAAGCTGTACGAGTGAAAAAAAAGAGCATAATATTTTAGTGTTTAAAGTTTTATTTCTTTTTTTTTCCCCACGTCTAAAAGCTCAACAAATCACAGGTTAAAGATGAATGCAATAATTACAGTCAGTAACAAAATACGGAAAAAAAAGAAGAAGGAAAAAGATGGGGGAAACCAGTATTTTAGTTTTCTTTATAATACTTATTTTTTCTTTGATTTTTAATTATTTACTTTTTTTTTTGTCTAAATAAACCAATTTCTTCTTTCCTTTTGACACAACAGATAAAAGAATCTGAGCAATTATTCAAATTTTTTTTATAAATTTTGAGCTGTTTTTAACTGACCATATAATCAACAAAAAGAAAACAACAAAAACAAAAACTGTAACTTTTTAGACTTCATTAACAAACTGTTAATAAGTATAAAACTTAAAAAATAAACGTTGTTCTATCAAATTCTAACTTTTTTTTGCCTCCAAAAAAAAAAAACTAAAAATTTTTTAAAATTTATTTTCTATTTTTAAGTTTATTTCTTGCTATTACTGCTTTAGGAATTGGTCTACCAAAGCCTTAAATGTGAAAACGATAACGTAATTGATGTTATGCCAGAAAACGATGTTTGCATTCATCCTGACGACTACCTCATTCTTCGCAGTACCACTGAGGTGGTCATCCAACGATATGTATTTCCAATACAATTTTTTTTGGGTTTTATTGGAAATGCAGTTAATTTGATTGTGCTGTTAAGTCGTGGTATGAGATCCGAAGTGGTTAGTCGACCTTAAAATCATTTTTTGTTCTTGCCAAATATATACAGACAGAGTTTATTAACAATATCTAATAATGGCTTAATATGGATATATAATTGTCCATAGATGCAATAATGTTTATCAAAAAAAAAAAAAAA